ATCGAGGTACTGAATGGGAGCCCCATTGGAGACTCTGACTTTAAACGTTAAAAATTTTGAATTTATCTAGTTATGAAAAAGTGTGCATTTAGGTAGGTTTCCATTTGTTACGAGTCATAATTGTGAGCATATCGGGAAGAGAGGCAGATCTAGTAGACTAGTATAGATTTCTTCTGGAGGAAGTGAGGTATATAAGTTTTCAAAGTCATAGCAGTTAATGTTTTGGATGTTAATTGTTTGAATGGCATTAATGACAGAAGTGTTATTATGGATGATCCAGCAATAGTTATGATTAGCGTTACAATCGTTGAAAATAAATTTACAGATTTTTTTAAGTTGAATTGAAAAATATTGGTGTGTGGGTGTGTAGTCTACATTTTTCTTGTAATTATTAGTTCCATTAGCTATAAATCTGAATTTTAATGGTGTTTTATGGAATTTGGGATTTGCATAAAGGTTAGAAATCTGTTGTAGTTTGTATTTCAAGTAATATTGAGTTTTTATGAATGTTTAATTCTGTTATTAAGATGTTCTGTACGGTTGGCTAATTGATAAGTAGTTGCGTTGAGAAGTCTTTATGAATATTTCTGTGTAGAATTGTTAATTTATTTAATATGAATGTGATTATATTATCTCCTAAATAAAATTAGTAGAATGTATCAAAATGAGGGAACCCATGAGTAGGAAGTTTTTTTTTTAAAGGAATTTGAATGTAAATCGTGATAAAAACTTTTTAAGGAGACTTGAATTTAAATCATGAATAACAAAATTTCAAACTTTGAAAAAGAAATAAAAATTAAAAACGATATTTTGTTATACGAAGGTCAAGGAGACAAACCAACTCCCGTTCAATGAACAATTATTAATAAATCGAAGGGGTTTTCTTTTACTCAAGTAAGAATGGTTATGCCAAGCTGACAAATGAGGTTAGGCCAAATAATTCCGTGAAATGATGGGATTTAGAACCAAAGTAGAGTACCAAAGAACTCATCCTGAATTAAGCATTTTCGCTAATACACATTTTGAGTGAATAGCAATTTATGTAGTAAAATTTATAAGATACTTGAGTAAATGTCCCCTGACACCTTCGCTTTTATGCCTGTTAATTCAACACTATTTGTTTAAAAATTAAACAGTGGTAATCTTAATTGGAATTATGAAATATAACTCAAAGTAATTGAAATAAACATGAGAAACATAACTATGCTTGCTATCTTTGCAAAAACAAATCAAATAAAAGTTGAAAAATTGAAATATATATAATAAGAAACAATGAAATGTAAAATGTATGTGAAATATAAAAGGCCAGAAAATGCTTTAATTAACCCATGTTCTTTCTAGTGGGATGTCAGTAAAGTGTTCTCTTCTGTGTCTAACTCAGAAGGGATGTGTGTCTGAAATTCTGTTATGGGCAGTGGGGATACTTTGAATTATTACAGGCGGTGAACCTTTGAGAAACCATTTTTGGTGCGTGTGAGGGACTAGGAATGCTTGAGGGGGGCTTGTTGCAGAGTTCTTATGTGAATGAAAACGTCTGTTAAAATTTTGAATATACAGTACAAATGTCTTTAATCCGGACATCCATAATCCAGAATGATCTATAATCCGGACCTCAAAACTACAAACTTTCTGCGCATGTGTCAATGCATAATGTGTTCACGCATGCGCATATGCGTTTACGCATGCGTGTTATGTTTAATGAGGTATAAGCTAAGCTAAATTATCTAATTATCTATTTCATTAATGTTGCAATGTGTTGTTCCTTAATCTTCTAATAGATCTGGTATTATTTTTTGCAGACTGTTAGAGCAATTCTTTAAAAAGTAAGCTTGAACTTTCGATTATGTCAAAAAGAGTTTCTGATTCTGGAGCTGCCAAAGTCCTGACAAGTCCGGATTAAAGACTTTGTACTGTATATATGTGTGAGTGTGTGATGAGAGCAAATTTAGAAGTACTGATGTAGGAACACTGACACATAGAAATGCAGAAACACTGATGGCGAAGCACATAGATCCATACTAAAGAGGAAGAATTCTGAATGCATAGAATGCAAAGCCATAATGAATAGGAAACTTGGCAGTTGAGGGAGATTAAATTCTGTTTTTATTAAATTCTCATTTGTGGCCACGGTCTTCTTGGCAGAAGGTAGAGCAAATTTAGAAGTACTGATGTAGGAACACTGACACATAGAAATGCAGAAACATTGATGGCGAAGCACATAGATCCATACTAAAGAGGAAGAATTCTGAATGCATAGAATGCAAAGCCATAATGAATAGGAAACTTGGCAGTTGAGGGAGATTAAATTCTGTTTTTATTAAATTCTCATTTGTGGCCACGGTCTTCTTGGCAGAAGGTAGAGCAAATTTAGAAGTACTGATGTAGGAACACTGACACATAGAAATGCAGAAACACTGATGGCGAAGCACATAGATCCATACTAAAGAGGAAGAATTCTGAATGCATAGAATGCAAAGCCATAATGAATAGGAAACTTGGCAGTTGAGGGAGATTAAATTCTGTTTTTATTAAATTCTCATTTGTGGCCACGGTCTTCTTGGCACTCTAATCAAGCCTATTCAAAAACATTTATATTTTTGGTATTATTGTGGTAGGAAGCAAGCATAGCAAAATAGCGTCCAAACAGAAGGTAGAAGCAAAGTACACATTTATCCAATATGGAAGATCGCCTAAAGGTAGGTTTTGGATTAGGTCAGAAAGGTTTCATTCTCAAAGTTTTGAGTTTAGTTTCTGAATTGCCCATGTCATCAGCCATGTACAGGCCATACAAGATGGATTTATCTAGAAATGACACAATCTAGAAAAGTTACTACAATTTCTAGAATAGAGAGGGAGAATTAAGAGGTTACCATTAGTTTAAATTCAATGAAGGTCTGTTCAGAGCTTCAAGAGTTTCCTGGAGCAGCAGAATTGATCTGAATATTTTGCACAGTATTTTAAAGAATATAGATAACTTGTTAGCCATGGACAATGTGCTGCAAAATTGAAGAGTTGACCTATTAATAGATTTATTCAGATAATGCTGTGAAGTGAGTTGAAAGTGAAGATTTTTTTAGAAATAATTTACTAAGCTTCACAATATGCCATTTTTCATAATAAAAAAAATGTGTAAGCAACTTATCAGTGTGTCTAAAATGAAACTGAAACCTAAGAAGGATGTAAAAGACCCTTTTATTTAAAACTAAGTAAGTTGAACAGAAGGTACACCTGGTGCATACAAATCAGCCAGCAGTTATGGCAAGAACTCAAAAGTAGAATTTTGAATTAAAACTAAATCTAAGTATCTGTTAACCAAAGGCTACGTGGAATAATTTAAATAAAGTTGGCTGTTAAGCTTACACCAGCATGCAAAGTGCTGTGGGTAAAATAAATCAATGCCAACAACAGGAAGTCTTCCCTTAGAATAACAACTGTTAACGTGGCCTTCAGGCAGAACAGACTGTCTAAACAATCTAAACCCTCACTTAAATACATGTAAGTTGAATTGCATTGTGGCAGGAAAACAGAAAGACAGAAGTGACATTACTGGTTCAGAAAATAAAATAACTAATTAATTAGCATAAATTAACTCTACAACTTATCTAAAAATTATATTGGAACTGATTATTGCAATCATTTCCAATATAATTTTTAGATAAGTTGTAGAGTTAATTTATGCTAATTAATTAGTTACTTTATTAGATAAATGTTGTTTAAAAATAGTTGTTATGTTTGTATGTTTAAAAATAGTAGTTAAAATGTAATGTTTAAAAATAGTAGTTAAAAATAGTCTGTTGTTTAAAAATAGGTGCATTTATTTGTTATATTCTAATCTTTTTTTTAAATATATATATATATATATATATATAAATCTATGAAATTAAAGTAAGGTAACAGAGCTAACTAACTATGGCTTTTATTTACTTGCTTATGTTTTAATATTGCTATAAAATAATACTTTTCAATACATTTAAAATATACTTATTACTGAAGCTATTTCATGTGAAAATAGGTTCCCCCCCCCCCAGTAATTCTATTTGATCAATACTGTGACAACTAAACTTTTTTTAGAAGTTACTAAACATTTTCTCAGTGTCTTGCGTCAATCTGCATTTTTTTCATATTTACATTTTTATATCAGAGTTTCAGAGAGGCAGATATATCTGTATGATTGCAAAGATGTCTCAAATCCTGTTGGTAATATTGGTTTAGATGTCAGCCCTGCCACTTTAATTCCTCATTACGATGAAGATAGTTCTACCTTATTTTTAACAGGGAAAGTGAGTTTTTTTTTAAATATTTCTAAATGTGATTTATATAATCTTTCTGCCACTCTTTTAACTATATATTTCTGTGTTAAAATATTTCCTTCCAAAAGTTTTTATGTGTACAAGCTTTTCAAATAGTGAGTATAATTTAAATTTTTGCATTTTTAATTATATTAACATTTTAAAATGTGTTTTAAAGCAATTTTTAGTCCCCTTTTTTGGAATAATAATCTCCTTTAAAGAACAATCACTATTTAACTTCATTTCTTTTGAACTTAATTGCTTAATGCATCTTCCCTCAATGAAAGGGTTAAATTTTAGAAATTTCATCTACATGGGATTTTACTACAGATAATATACATATATAATTTTAACAATTTAAAATTTTTTTAGCATAAAGATTATACTATCCTAGAAAGTTTAAAAAACATTTTAGCTGTAAATTTAGGTTAAGAAAGCAATGTAAAGCATTTTGAATTAATTAAAAAATTTTCAAAATCTTGTGAAGATTTGCAATTTAAATCTGCATATTAATTACTTTTATTTTAATGTTTCAAATAAACTCATCAGAGGATAATTGTTTAAAGCATTAAAACTGAACAATTAAGGAGTGCTAAATATATGTTTCGTCCTTCTTGACTATGTGAGTGCAAAAACTAAAAATAATCTCATATTCCTGCACAAAATATTTACTTCCAATCTCAAAGTGTCAAGAATATGCCCTAATGTGAATTCAACCATCGGAAAAAAATGCAAAAATAATACAAAATGATTCAAAACTTGTATTATTGTAAAACGGGGGGGGGGGTGGAGAGAAAGAAAAAATTCTAGATTTATAAATTATGTTATTATACAATAGAAATGTAAATACAGTGGCCAAATTATGTTAAAAGACTAATTTCGATTTTGCTCTTTTTCAAGAACTAGATTTTTCCATTTTGGTTAAAATTAAATATACTATTAGATCAGATTGAATATACTATCAGAAGTTATCAGATCAAATGCTATGTTTTTGCTGTTTTCAAAGAGAAATAATCCTAAAATTAGAAAACATTATAAAAGTCTTGAAGTTATTTTTCTAAATATAAAATTAGCAATATTATTCATGATAAAGGGAAAACAAAAAACATTGGTTTTAAATAAAAAAAGGAGATAAGTACTTTTACAGCTAATTCAAAACTAAAATTCCTAGTCCCTGACTTCAAAAATCATAGTGTTTTTAATTAATTCTTTGTCAGCAGTAAACAAAATAAATAATGAAAATAAAACTCTTAAGAAATCTAAAAAGCATAATTTTCATTGCCTTTTACCTAAACATGTGTCTGAATATAGAACATACTTCAGAATTCTTTATCAAAACCATTTAGCAAGTGATAAATAAAAATGCATTGTGATTATTGATGAACTTGGGTTTTTTTCAAAGTGACTCTAATAAGATAAACTTTATGAGAGCAAAAGCATATATATATAATTTTTTTACTAAAGTAAGGTTGATTATATTTATTTATCTCCTCAGTTTATTAATTCAATATATACATATATAGATTGTATATATATATACACTCCATAAATACATATATAGATTGTATATATATATACACTCCATAACAAAAAAAAAATTGATGCCTTAAGAAGAAATCATCCAATTGCTTTGAAATTTTGTACGCCTAAATGTTTTGACCAAATATGCAAATGATTAAAGTTTGGGTTCAATGAATGAATAGTGTGATCTCCAGCGCATCAGAACTGGGCATCCAGCAGATGTATATAAGGAGCTGTTCTTGAACTGTTGTTAAAATTTCTGTTGCATTGCGATTTAGGATACCTTTCAATGACTGAAAAAATGCCACGTCGCAGCATTTGAGCTCATTACGAGCAACTGTTAAGAGTTTGAAAGAGGTTATATCATTGGATTGAAAGAGGCAGATTGGGAAAATCAGAGAATCGCTTGTCATATGAATCAAAGCAATGCTGCAATTAGAAGATGCTGGTGTAGACACAAGTATAAAATATATAAACTTTAACACATCAATAATAACATTTCGATGAGAAGGGAAATTCCTGCTTCATGCACACAGCTCTCTCCTCGCCATCTGCCGCTCATCCAAGGCGGGCATGCGCAGAACTCACAAAACTTCGTATGGTGTTTCCATAGCAACACCACAGAGATCCCCCTACTGAGGGAGACGGAACCATACACCAAAAAATTATACAGAATTTATATTACACAATGATAAATGTGAAGGTAAAAGGTACAGTATAAAACACATAATAAATTAAACTGCATAATGAAATACTGAATAAATAACAATATATATAAGTTATATATAGTAGGTGGTAGACAGATTTTGAAGGAATTTGACATGTTGTCCAGATTTTGTGACAGTTTTAGGAGCATTTGACATGTGAGGTTTCAATATGTCTGTCTTATTGGAAGGTTTAGTGTTAGGAACAAAGGTTTTATCACTATTGAAAAATGCAGGCTTGAGTCGATCAATTGAAACAGTTTGATTTTTACCATGCACGGAGATGATAAAGGTTTTATCATATCGCTCAATGACTGGATGAGGACCTGAGTATGGTTGTTAAAGAGGAGTCTTTACTGAGTCAATTCTCAAATAAACTTGAGAACACAATTTTAAAGATGGATGAATGTGGATAGGCTCTGGACCGTGTTTTGATGTTGCGATGGGAATCAGAGATTGCATTATAGATCGTAAACGATTTACATATGTTGGTGTCGGGGATGGCGGAGAAAGCTGATCTGAGCACAAAATATCCGAAGGCAGTCTTAAGGTAGTACCGTAGACTAACTCAGAACAAGTTGCTTGGATGTTTTCTTCGACGGAAGATGATATAATACCCAAAAGTATAAGAGGTAACGATTCTATCCTGCGAGGATTCTCGCGATTTTGTGCTATTTTTCAGTTGGCAATGGAAACATTCAATGATTCCATTTGATTGAGGTCTATAGGCAGTGGTACAAATATGATGAATGCCCAGCAGGTTCGTGAACTCCCTGAAAAGATGCGATTCAAAGTTCTGACCCTGGTCAGTAGTTATAGCGGAAGGGCATCCGAAACAAGCTATCCATCCACTAATTAGAGCTTTACAAGTTGTTTCAGCTGGCATATCAGATGTGGGAATTACTTCTGGCTATCACGTGAAGCGATCAATTATGGTCAAGCAATACTGATAACCTTCAGAAATTGGTAATGGACCAATAAAATATATGTGAATCTGAGAAAATCTGGCATCAGGAAGTAAAAATGTTGAAATGGGTGATTTTGTGTGCTTGTGTATCTTGGAACGTTGACATTTCTCACAAGCCTTCACGGAGTTTTTGATAAAAGTGTGCATGTTAGGCCAAACGTAACGTCTGTGTATCAATTTTGAAGTGGCAGATATACCTGGATGCGAAAAGTTGGGAATACTTTGGAAGATGATAGGTATAAATGAAAAGGGAATGAAAGGACGAGGGACATTGGTTGTGGAGTCACAATAGAGATAAATATCTTTAAGTGGAAAATACTGTTTGGAGAGCTTCAAAGAAGAAGATTTAGAAGTTGGTAATTGTTGTAGTTCATGGTCTGTAAGTTGTGCTGAGGCTAACTGTTTGAAATCCAGAATAGGTGAGCGAGAAACAGAATCTACTTCTATTCAGGAGAATGTGTCAGCAATAACATTTTCCCTACTTCTAACATATTCTATATCAGTGGAACATTGAGAGATATAGTCAAGGTGTCTCAGTGTCGAGGAGAAAACATTTCTGCTTTTTTGTCTGAAAGCGAATGTTAGTGGTTTTTGGTCATTAAATGTGATGAAGTTGTGACCTTCTAACATGTGCCCAAATTTCCTGATAGACTGATATATTGCCAGAAGTTCGTGGTCATATGTAGACCATTTCCGTTGGCTGTTATTCAATTTTTTAAAAAGGAATGCTGTTGGCTCCCATTGATCATTTTGGAGTTGCATGAGAGAGTTGCCAATAGCAACATTAGATGCATCGGTCCAAACACTGAGTTGAGCACAAGGAATTGGATGTCTTAAGAGGGTAGCTTTTGTAAGAGCTTCTTTAGCTGCTAAAAATGCCTTTTCTGCGTCCTCAGACCACAGAAGAGGATTTTTAGTCTTCTTGGTTGGACGGAATGATTTCTTTTTGTTAGAATGACCTTCGAGAAGCTTAATTAAAGGTGACAAAATGTGCGCTTGCATGTGGCACAAATCTGCGATAAAAATTGAATAGGCCAAGAAATCTGCGAAGCTGTGTTAAGCTTGTTGGTCTAGGAAATTTAGAAATGGCATCAACTCGATCTGGAATGGGAGAACTCTAGAGTTCTTCTCTAGAGACTTTATATCCTAAGAAATCTAAGCTAGGAACTCCAAATATACACTTTGAGGGTTTGATTGCTAAACCATCATGATCTAATCTTTGAAAGAGATCTCTTAGATTGTTAATATGCTCTTTGTGGCTTTTTGAGGCAATCAAGGTTAGGTTAGGTTACTTAATTACAGAAAAGCCTCGAGGGCTATCTGCCTAAGGGAAAGGATGCCTTCGTGAAGGACTTTCTAAGGGAAACTGGCTCGTATACACGTTACACATGGGGAAAACCATGAAAACACCCATGCAGCCAGCCCGTTTGCAGGATTCGAACCTCGGACTGAACTACCATTGTTCAGCGAATTTACCGCTTGGCCATTGAGGCAATCAAAATATCATCAATAAATGCATATACATGGTTAAACCTCTCATCACTTCATTGCTATTTCAGCATCCTTTTGTGTGGTTAGAGGAGTGATTCATGCTAAAATAGATTGCACATTTGTAGGTAGTTGCTGCAGAAATAATTTCAAAATAAAAGTATCTGTCACATTATGATTTTCTGCACGCCGCTGCATAATGCGTAAGAGTTCAGATGGCTTTCAATCCCCTAGTTGCTCACCGGCAAGTAAACGACATATTTCTTGTGATTTACTTTCACCACAGCGAGAAATGACTTCATTCTTCATTTTACCATATGGAGCCTTTTGGTCAGGAGAAATGGTGATATCCCTCACGGTCATAGCAATGTCAGGAGGTAAATGTGCCACACAGTGGTTATACATGGTTCTGGATTTTGTTATAGCCTTCAGAACCACTAATTCAAAAGTAGATTCCACCTTCGTGAACCATAGAGATGGATCAGAAGGAATGAAAGGAGGTATTTTCACTGCTGATATTTCATCCATTGTTGATGATGTTTTTGGTTAGTTCCGTTTTCGTATTTTGTCCAAACTCCAAGAAACAATCAAAAGATGTGCGTTGTCCAACGTCGATCACCAATGTAGAGGTTCCATGGTGAGGCACGACACAAGTATAAAATATCTAAACTTTATATAACACATCAATAATAACATTCCAAAGAGAAGGGAAATTCCTGCTTCATGCACACCGCTCTCTCCTCACCATTTGCCGCTCATCCGAGGCGGGCATGAGCAGAGCTCACAAAACTTCATATGGTGTTTCCATAGTAATACCACTCTGGCAAAAATAGGTGGACATTGGCAGATTTCAGCATCATGATGGTAGCAGTCTACCTAGGGCCACAGCAGATTGGGAGGAGTGATTGTCAGATCAGCTGTCCCAGCGCCTGATTCATTGTTATCCAACCATCAGACATGCGACCCGCACACGAGTGTTCACCATGACCATTCACAGACGGCTGATAGAGCAAAATTTACGCTTGTACCAATCGTTATGCGACCTGCCACTTACGTCTGCACACTGTCAAGCCAGATTACTGTGGTGCTTGGCTCAATCAGGTTGAAATGATGCTGACTTGGGATGTGTAGTCTTTATCAACGAATATTGCTGCCAACTGTGTCGTGACGATCATCGAAGATGTGTCTGGCGACTCTCAGAGAGCAACATGCCGATCCTGCTTTCACTGTTACATGCCACACAGGTCTTCAGTCATTACCTCAGTCATTAGTCATTTAGTCCTCAGTCATTTAGTCATTACCTTATTCAACCAGGAGTTATGGTCTGGGATGCCATTTTCCTTGATAGCCAGACCCCTTTGGTCATCATTAGAGGCATACTTGCAGCACAGCGGCACGTCGACAACATTCTGAGACACTACCGTTCCTTTTGCAGTACCCTGGTCTTATTTTTCAGCAAAATAATGCCAGACCGCATATGGCACATGTTGCTATGAACTGTCTTACAGCTTGTCAAACAATTCCTTTGCCAGCCAAATTGCCAGATCTCTCTCCCATTGAACATGTCTGGGATATGATGGGAAGGCGACTGCATCTACCAGGGATTGTTGATGACCTAGCCCAACAACTGGAGCAAATTTGGCATGAAATAGTGCAGGAGACTGTCCAGGAGCTTTATCAGTCTATGCCACACTGTGTAGCAGCTTGCATCCAGACTAGGTAACTCTGAAATGAATCATTCAGTTGTTCTGAAATTTTAGTCATTACCTATTCTGTACATGATCTTCGTATCCACCAATTTTTGTTTCCATCAGACAACTTGGTGCATCAATTTTTTTTGTTATAGATTGTATATATATGTACATATACAATCTATACACACATACTTGGCTATAGAATTCAAAGAAATTTTAGTAAAGGATTGTTGCTAGTTTCTTTTAAAGAACAAAGAGAAAAGAGAATTTTTTAAGTCAAAATAATGTTTTATCTTTATACTTAAATAAACTCTGATCTGTAGCCATTCTGAATTCTTATAATTTTTAGAAATTTAAGTCCTGACTACAAACTCTGATATGTAGTCAGGGCTTAAATTTCTAAAATTATAAGTGACAGAGCCCTATGAAAGCCCATTAGGAAAGAAGAACAAAAATAAATGTATAAAATAATTAATAAAATAGTAAAATAAACAGTAATAAAATAAGTAAAATGAAAATTCAGTGAAATATCAAGTGATAAATAAAACTGGAAAGGAAGCTTGCAATTGTAAAATTCAAAATTAGGCAAAACAGTAACCTTATTTTAGCATAGATATTGAGCAGAACTCTATCGATTTCAAGCGTGATCAGGTGCAAATCCCGCTTGTTCAGGTACAAAAATAATTTTACGATTTAAGCGAAAATAAGTTTGTTGTTTACCTGTGACTTATTTGGTGCTGTAGCTGGAATTACAATTTCACTCAAAAACTAAGAAATAGTAGAGCTAGATGGTTGAATTTAAGCTTTGAATATACAGTGCAATCTGCTGTTTCAAGAATGATAGAGACAAAAACCATTTCTTTTTCTTCTAGCACACCAATGAAAAAGGATGAATTGTTAAATCATTAACTAATGGGGCTATCACATCTAACACCATATGAGGCTAGAAGAAACTTTTCCAAGAAACAAACCTGTGCATTGCCTGCCATTGAAAGGTTCCTATCTGAACCTACTGTTTTATATAGAACTGTATCCTGCCTAGTTATGCAAAACTTTTTGGAACTGAGCTATAATTATGCCATTTAAAGCAGTCTGTTTCAACATGTTGTTGAGGGTAGCTTATAGATGTGATATTGGTTTAATAAAAATAATGATAGCTTATAGTTATGAACTGTATATGATTTCATAAAAGTCAAGTTGAAAATCTTAACAATATTTAGTCTCTTTAACATATGACAATGCTGCTCAAATGAGCACAGAGTAAGGATTACAATTTAATTATAATAATTGGCTGCGACTTTGACTGGGCAGAAAATAAGTGACTGGATGTGGGCTTACTTGTTACTACTGTGCTTTTGCCACTGGCATTGTGTAGTGCTGTAATCATTAAACCAGTACAGATAGAGAAAATATTCTAACAGTGATGAAAGAAAGAATAAATAGCATGCTAGAAACAGTGATAGAGTATGAAGGATATTTTAAGATGTGTAAGTATAAAAATAATGGGAGAAATATCCAACACTTTCTGATCATGTTTCCCTGGCAGTATAATTCTAAGTGTCAAGCAAAATGTAAGAGAGGAAAAAATTCCTTTTACGTCCTAAGATGAGAACAAACATAAGCTCTGTGCAAGTTACAATTTTCATCTCCCATATTTGGTTACATCATTCCAAAAAAGTCTATCTTTCTATGGGAAGTCCAGTGCTAGAGTGAAATGTATACAATTAATATGATCATTCTTAGTATTTTCAGAAACAAAAAAATTACCTACTCTCAGAAATTCATTGCTCTTCCTGGAGAATAAACCTTTGATATGGGGGTGAGGCTTTCTTTCTTTAAAAGTCTTGATTATGCCCAAGGTTTACCTCTGAGGGAAAGATGAGCATGCATTCTGAAGTTAGAATTCATTTTTAAGAGTTACTTACTATTAAAATAAAAATTTCGAAATAAACAATTTTTTCTCTATATGTTGGGATTCATTTACATAAAAGAAGTGCCTGGTGAAAATTATGATTTATCTCAAAAATTGAGAAGTATCTGAACTGAACTGTTGTGCAATTTAAGCTCTGGCTATTGTATTATCAAAGAGTCAACTCCAGTAAATTTCTTGGGGAAAAATAGTTAAAAAGTATATATTAAATCTGTATCTTCTGATCAGATTCTTTCAAAATCCATTGAAAAAAAAATTTCTCATTTTAATCTGTAAGCTGCCTTTGAAATGTCAAAATGGAATCATTTAGAAAAGTTCACTAACATCAGGGAATTCTGAAAATTTTAATTATATATAAATATGTATTTCTCACTGTTCATTATTATAAGAAAAATTTCATATTAATAAATTAATAAAAATATGTAAATTTTCAGTTTTTTTAGATTTATGAAAAAATGCATTTCATAAACAGGTTTTCTTTCATCATATTTAAATTTATTTCAGGGTGATGCTGTTATATTTGCTTATGAAATTGCCACTGATAGTCCATATTTCCATCCTCTATCTAATTATAAATGCACAAATCCACATCAGGCTCTTTCATTTTTACCCAAATTTGTCTGCAATGTAAAGGAAGTTGAATTTGCTAGAGCGATAAGATTGACTTCATCAACGATAGAACCTATGTCATTTCATGTTCCTCGTCTAAGGGTATGAATAATTTGAATTTATTGTCATTTGTATTTTATTTACATATTAAGTATTGTTCTTCAAAACATTCTGATTGATTGGCTTTAGGAAAATATGTTTATGTTGTAGCGTTGCCCGCCTCCAACTTGCACGCAACCAAGAGGTGACTGTGAAAACTGGATAAAAGACAGAGTCTTGTTAAGGGTTTAAGTCCCTTTTTATTCAACGTAATAAATTACAAGTGCATGCTCTTGACGCTCACAAACTGCACCAACTCAGCGGTCCAATAAAAAATAATAACCTGAAAAGAAACTAAAGACAAGACTCTAACTACGAGGCTCTCTAAAAGTAACTAACCTCACCGCATTTTACAATACCGCTGCTAATTCAGCAAACTTGAAGATCACTTGAACGATTAACACTACTTCCAGGCAAGCACACAGGCCGAAACGCGGGGTTCTTCAATTTCTGGCCAACTACCTCCGCGCTCGTGAAGTAAGAATATCACACCTCGAACTCGTTTCCTTTCTATTTAAATCAGAATACTTCCGCTGATAATTTGAATCCTTGCACGTTCTACTAAAATTTACATACTCTGGCATTGGCAGTTCCAGGGGAAAGTAACGCTTGACAGGAAAGATAGTTTAAACTTAAAAATAAATGTTAGTTAAAATAAATATAAACCCTACATTTGCCGCTGCCAGAATTTGGAAAACTTGGAAGCAGGTCCTACAAACGACCTGTTGTAAGTTTCTCTAATTCTGAACTAACTATCGAGAACCTCGTTTACACAAAAAAATCTTATGTAACAAATTGTATACTAAAATTCTGTTGATAGTTATAACTCTCTCTTCTTACAGCAACTTTTCCTGGACTTCATCAATCAATCTCTGGAAGGAATAAGTATCAGTATCTTTCTAAATACATTATAATTTACACTTTCTTGACACAATAAATTTTTGTTTTTAAACGATTCGTTTTTCTTAGTTATTGCTTAATTCACATTCAATTTTTCAAGCATTAATTTAACTTTACCCTGGCTCTCCACCATGTGTGGTGTCAAACGGGAATGTTCGTGTTTTAGTCTTACAACTCTTCCCCTAACCACCATGATTTGTTAGAATTCAACGACCAAATAGACACACCTTACTCGACATTCTACAACTCGATGAGCTACTTTAATATTCTTAAAAATTCAAGTGTAGGTGGAGAACCCTACAAAACACATTCATTCTAACTTCCCCTCATTCATCTTTTAACATGCAGGCTTTCGCTCTAAAGCATGACTTTATCTACAGTTTAATACTTAAATTTGAATTCATTGCTTTTAGCATTCACTTTAGCATCTAAAATTTTATGCTTCTAGACTAAATTCTACTTTTACATAACATTCAAGTATTTACGTACATTTACAAATTTAATACATATAATTTTACAATTTACCCAACAATGAATAAGAGAAAATAAATTTTTACTTTACTCATTCTTCGCCAAGCTGGCGGCACTGAAACTAAAATTCTTATTAATACAAGAATACGAAGTTATTTTTATCTTCGGCCAAATTTTGGCTTTAACATAACAGAATTAGTCTTTCGACCAACAAGAAATGCTTGTTTTTAGCTTTTATACTTAAAGAAAATAATACTTTGCCTTAGCTAAATAAAGTAAAACAAAACTAAGTCTCAACCGAGATATATTGACTTTCGTCAAAACATAGAACTTCGTACTTATACAAACATTTCGGAACAAAAGAGAAAAAAAAATTTATAGAAAGGTTTTGACTTATCTTTGAGTTTTCGATGCTTGAAAACTCGTCATTCTTTTTTGGCAATATTGGTCCCAAGTTAGAGGTTTCATGGACGTCAATCTTCTCCTTACTGACATCTGATTGTCGTCCACATTAGTTTTTCTTTTGCGTCCTCTACATGCTGGCCTCTTGGCGGAGTAATCGTCTGGTTGTTGGCATTTCCGTTTTTCCATGGGACGGCTGGTCTTGACGTCCTCCGGTCTGGAGTCCTTCTTGAATTTCTTCTGTTCCTGGTATTTTTGTTCCTTCTGTTGCCGTTTCAGTTTCCGGAATGGCGGCCTTGCTGGCACCTGACTCTGTGGCCGTGTGCGCGTTCTCCTTGATGTATAATTTCTCCTGCGATCCGTTGTAGGTGGTGTTTTGCTCTTTACCATGGTTTCTTTACGCGGTGCATCTGTTTCTGTGTTTTCTTAAACGCTGGAAGTTTGAAAGTTATTTTTTCTTTTTGATACGACGTCCGGCTTGTAAAAGCTAGGTCTCTCTTCAGTTCTCTGCTTCTTGGGTGGTGGAATAGTTTGTTGTTATTTCTGGACCTTCTTACTTCGTTTAGACTTGAGTCCTGCAAGAAACTTTTAAGGATTTCAAAATTATTTGGATTATAGTATTTTTTCACCTGGTTGGGACTTGCTTTACAGATTCCCTCTCTCGTTCTTAAATAATTACTACTCCTTTGATTTCCTGAATTCATAGGGACCTTCAAATTGTGGAGCTAGCCTTTGCCGTAAAATTGTCTGGGAAGCACTTGATAAAGAAATTTCCGCTTCAATACTTTATCCCCAACTATAAAATCTGCTTCTCGGCGTTTTTCTATCTAATATGTTTTTCCTTTATTTCTTGCCGTTCCGAGCTTAAAGCACCTTTGATAAGCTAAATTTTTGCATCTTTTTGCTTGATGTGTGCGCACATATTTTCTGTGAATTTTTTTACTATGTTTTTTTATTCATCTTTCTGCTATGTTTGCCTGTGGTCTATACGGAACCATTTTGATATGGGCATATGTAAGTCCATTGCATATGTTTTCAAATATTTGACTAATGAATTGTTTCCGTTATCGCTAAGACTTTATCGGTGCACCGTATTTTAAATGTATCTGTGTAAGAATGCATCTGCGACTGTTTTGGCTGACGCGCGTGTTAAGTGAAACAATTTCTGTCCATTTGAAAAAATACTATTACTAAAAGAAACGATTTTATTGAACTCGCTCTGGGGGAAGAGACTAAGAGATCTATGCCTAAAATTTCATTCGGAAATGTAGCGCGAATGCATCATTAAGTACCCATCCGGCTGAATATCATTATTAACTGACATTGACCTGCATACGCTGTTATATTAATTGCGGGAAATATACCGCCTCGCATACCCTTTTTAAAGTCTTTCTGACCCCTAAATAGCCCGCTGTTTTCGCGTCGTGTAATTCCTTCAAAATGCTAATCGAAGCGGGCTGATGACTGGTTTATACTCAAGATTTTTGTTTGTTGTTTTCGTATAAAATAATAAATTATCTATTATTTCATAGTTTTCTGGTCTATTTTCTTATCGCATCGATATCTGTGTGCTCAAAGCTTTCAGGGTCTTTCAAATATGCATAGGATATTTCCAAATTCAGGATCAGCTTTCCAGTTCAATAATAATCGTATCTCTAGAATCTAAAATTTTTGAAGTCAACGCAGCGCATTTAAGTTCATTTCCTTCATCGTCCAGTTTTATACGAGAAAGTGTGTCAGCTACATTGTTTTCCTTACCCGGTTTATATTTTATTGTGATATTTATATTCTTGGAGTTTTAAAAGCCCATCTTATTAACCTGGGCGTTAGGTTTTTCCCCGAGTAAAGTCTACCAACAGCCACATGATCCGAAAAGACTGTTACTGGCGCTTTGCCGAAATTAACTCGAAATTTGTGTACAGCCATTAATACGGCTAATGTTTTTCTTTCTGTAGCTGTATAATTCCTTTGTGTCTGATTCAACGTTTTACTAAAAAATGCCAGAGTAATGTTATTTTGCATAAGAACCGCACCCACCGCATAGTCTGACGCATCTGCTGCAATTTCCCTCCCTTTCACAGGCCCCTCTACTCGTTTAAAGCTTTCCTTTCAATCTGTGCCTTCTGGGTACGCGGATGTTTATTTTCGAATTTTCTCTTTGGGTCTTGACCTTCAAGTTTCGATGAGTTAGCTTGATAGCTCTTTCGCCCATAAGAGCAATTTCCATTTCTGGTTTCCTCATTTGAAGATTTCCTTTGGGTACTTTGAGAATACGTTGCCCCTCTGGCTTTTTCCGCTATTCTGCGATTTTGAAACTTCACCGCCAATTCGAAGAGCTCCTGCAATGTGCTTGTGTTTCTAATTTCAAAGTAGTCTTGAAACAGCGCGGTAATCTTTTTGGTAAGATTATTTCAATAATCTCCGCATCGGGGTTTTCTCCCATATGGCATATCCATCAGCTAAATTTTTCGTAGAATAAAGTCCGTCAATTCTTCTATATCCCGTTGATAGAAACTATATAGTTTGGCTTCCAGCCGTGCTCGATCTTTCACTATGGGGAAGGCCTTTACTAACGATTTTTTGAAATTTTCAAATGTATATGGCTGGCTTCCAAATTCCCCTAATAAAATTTGCCTATATTTTTCCACCATAGTGCGGCCTGTCCTCTTAGTGCGGATGTGGCGATGGCAACTTTTTGTCTTTCAGGCACAGGGTAGAGCTGAAAGTGATTTTCTAGGCCTTCTAGAAATCTCGCCACCGAATTTTTTCCGTTGAAATGGACGTTTGGCTTGATTGACGCTCTCAAAGTCTGGACCAGGTATCCAAATCCTTCCAATTGGCTTGTCATTTCTTGGTGTTGTCCAGCGGCTTCCATCCAATTTTCGGCCATTTTAGTTGGATAAGTGTTCGGGCGCCAATGTAGCGTTGCACGCCTCCAACTTGCACGCAACCAAGAGGTGACTGTGAAAACTGGATAAAAGACAGAGTCTTGTTAAGGGTTTAAGTCCCTTTTTATTCAACGTAATAAATTACAAGTGCGTGCTCTTGACGCTCACAAACTGCGCCAACTCGGTGGTCCAATAAAAATAATAACCCTGAAAGAAACTAAAGATAAGACTCTAACTACGAGGCTCTCTAAAAGTAACTAACCTCACCGCGTTTTACAATACCGCTGCTAATTCAGCAACTTGAAGATCACTTGAACAGTTAACACTACTTCCAGGCAAGCACACAGGCCGAAACCGGGGTTTTCATTTCAATTTCTGGCCAACTACCTCCGCGCTCGTCGTAAGAAATCACACCTCGAACCTATATCAATACTTCCGCGGATAATTTGAATCCTTGCGCGTCTACTAAAATTTAAATACTCTGGCATTGGCAGTTCCAGGGGAAAGTAAGGCTTGACAGGAAAGATAGTTTAAACTTAAAATAAATGTTAGTTAAAATAAATATAAACCCTACAATGTATTTATATAAAGTTTTTGTGAAAAATATTTTATGCTTTAATTCAGTATTTACTTTGTGTTTTTGTCCCTGCTAAATCATGAGCATATTTCATACCAAGTGCTATATTAACTATATTGGCTGGAGATAAATCCTCCCTATGCTTTGTTTCCTTTTATATGTATGCATGTCCAGCACATGAATAGTGGTAATAATAATAATTATCGTCTAATGCCTCAAATGTGTTAACAATATAATATTGCAATAATAAGACCAGTCCAAAGTTTATTGCATCATTTCTTTTTTTTTTTTTTTTTTTTTTTTTTTTCATGCAAACAAACTTATCCAGAATCTTTAGTTAAGTATTAAAAGAAATAAATAAATGAGTGAACTAGATCGTGCATCAATGTCTTTCATGTCAAAGAGATATTTTGAGAGGAAGTGCAGTAAGCTAATGTTAATCTGCAGACTAACATTAGCTTACTGCACCTCATGATGATAGAGAAAAGTGTTAAAAATTAAGATTTGGATCTGTTGCTGAAGGAGGAAAGTTTTATCCCTGAAATAATTTTCCCAAAAGAGGTATCTGGAGCTGTTTATACAAGGTCTTTTTTAAAAAATGGCCTTTCAATAGTTAAAACTTAATAGTTAAAACTTTTAATAGTAAATAAAAATCTTTGCAAATTGCTCAGCATTAGCTTCTTGTTTCTCAAGCTTAGGAATTCCTGCTCTAAAACAGGAAAAGTATCAGCTTATCATTTCGTTATAAACTGTCATAGCTGTGTAACTTCTTGATTCTTTATGTTTTTGTGCTGCTATCAGTTATTTTCATATGTGTGGCTCTAGTTAAGTCCTGGATTCTTCTAAAGTCAGTGACATTATTTTCATTGATATGCAGCTGCAGTGCATTTCCACTACCATCCACAATTTTCCTTTTGTGTAGTCTTTGACTAGGCCTTAATCTAAGCAATCATGCAGATGGTCACAGAAATGGGTATGTAATTTGTTCTGTCTTTTGTTGTTGTTAGCTTCTGAAGTTACAGTGTAAGTAATAAACTTTAAGTGCAGAAATGATTTTCTGAACTTATTAGCTGTGATAATGATGTAGTGCTGGATGGCAAAGTATGATCTTTACCATAGGATTAATTAAAATAATAAGTTATATTCATTTAATACTGAAAATTTACAAAGAATAAATTCATTTGCTTTGGTTCATATTATCAGTGCATGTGCTTATTATTAATGCAGTTCAAGATTTTTTAGAATAAATTATGGAGCTGCTACAAAATAAAAGCTGCCGTTAGGAAAAAATTTTCATTTAGATTATTAAACTGTGATAGATGTTTTACTGATATTGTTTGGTATATGGGAATCATATAAAAAGTAGATTTTGTTTTTCTCAACCTTTTCTATATAGGATTGTAAGAATGTTTCTTTGAAAATTAGCATCTTATTTTTAGAAATTTTTTAACTGGAAGTACATATTTGAAGTAATATTTAAAGAAATAAATCCTGAAGCTATCTTTCTCGAATGTATTACATAATGTATTTTTCATTTAAAGATGCCAAATTTTTTAAATGCCCATGGTGCCCATAAAGTAGTTGATTTAATAAAATTTAAACACAGTATTTTCAAGATAATGTAATTTCAAGATAATTCTTCATTTTCTAAAATTTGCAAGTAATACTTTTCTTTTTCATTTAAAGGCTTAAAATGATGAAATATATGTATATAATTTTTTTGTTTAGTCAGAATATTTCCAAGATGATTTATTTCCACCAACACATGAAACTTGGAAACCTTCAGTGACTAGCTCAGAATGGTTTATGGGCATAGATAAACCCCTAAAAATGATAAATATGCTACCTGATGGTATGACACCATGTAAGTATATTAATTTTCTTGCTTAAAACACATTTTCATATAACAAAGTATTAAAATTTATTTTATTAGAATTTTTATTTTTTAGTTACTTAGTTGTTTTAAATTTTCATAATATTTTTAATTTTTGAATGATTTCAGCTATATTTCAGTAAGTAAATTGTTAGTGCTTTATTTCTTTTTAAATGATATAATGCAGTATGTTTTTGCCAAATTATTAATTATAGCATAGTTGAATAATTTATTATAGCATACTATTCAGCTTAAACAACTATTTACAGTTATTTATGCTAAATAGTACCTTTAAATTAGTTTCAGTTTGTGTTGAGGAAATTGAACTGCTTGTTACATTTCAAGTTTGATTTTGGTTTATATGGCCTTTATTGCTTTGCTGTACCTCTGCTTTGCCAGAATCTGAATTATAAAGTTTGCGTTTTATTTATTTCATTAAGATAGCAAATATGTCTAATCAGACTTTACTGGTAAATACATTTATGTATAAAATTAAAGTATTAATTGGAAACTTCAACAGTATCTGCTATTAAGTGTTTTAACATAACTTTTTTTTAAATTACATTATACAAGACATGTTATTTACATGCTGTAGTTACACAGCTATTAGGTGTGGTGAAAACATAATTAAAAAAAGGAGGACTCGTGGTGTTTCCATTTTCTTAGGTAGCAGTGGTTAGCATGATGTTAGATTACCACAAACTGTTGTTCAGGTATTGTGATGTCTTTTTATGGAATTAAATTCTGTATGATTGATATCAATTCTTTTGGTAGGATGAAAGCTCCAAAAAGGGAACTGGCATGATAGAGGTGGTTCTTAAGGCATTTTGCATATTCTAAAATCTGACAAGTGTGTTGATTTCTCCAAAGGAATGATATTTCTCTTCTCAAGCTATTCAAATAGTAATTGAGTGAAGCCTAAAAAAACCCTCCAGTCCCCCCTGCTCAAAGAAAACCCCTCACTTTGCGAATTAATAAGTTTCTGGTTGTTTTCTCAATATATATAAATAATATTTATATCTGTGATGCTGTTAAAGGCTGATTCCTCTCCATACTAGCAGGCCACTACCATGAAAACTCTATATATTGTAATCTAGTATAACTTAGAGTTTTATGTACTTTTATTCTGTGTTATGCGTAAGATACAGTTACTTGAAACATGTTTCTGAGAATCAATGAACTTTGCAAGCATATTCTATATTTTAGCGCTTTCTAACTATCCACACCTCCAGCAAAATGTCACAAACTAGTTACCGACTTTTGAGAGCATTTGCTAACTCATTAGTAACTAGACTAGAAGAGAAACACGCTAATGTGACAATCAAAATAGTAAAAACAACCTTGGATTTAGTGTAAGTATAATGAAACACTCAATCGATTTCGAAGGCAGCTAAAGGTCTCTCCTCATCAGGAGAAAGAAATACCTAGAAAGAAGAAAATAAAGGAAAAGGAGTCTCAGAAACACGTGGTGCTTATCAGCACTGCACGTGGTATTAACTGGATTTTTAATCAGAGTTGCACTGGCCGCCTACTTTTACTGAGTCAGGCTATCTGATCAAGCATAAAGGACAAGAAAAATTAGTGAAGTTAAAAATAGGGAGCGAGGGGCAAATGCACCTTCACACTCAAAATCTGAACTTCAAATAATGGAAAGCAACCACTGAATGCATTTTTTATGAATTCAATTGATCCAGCCATCCAATTCACTCTTGAAATTGAATCCAGCAATTCCCTCCCCTTCCTTGATATTCTTATAATCCGCAATGAAACTGATTTTAGCACCACTGTGTACCGTAAGCCCTTTGCAGTTTGTTTACCACCCCATGCCAAGTCATGCCACCCTGTTAAGCAAAAAATGGCTTCTTTTTACTATTATGTATTCCGCGCTTAAAGTTTGTTCCTCTGAATCTTTGCTTACCAATGAACTTAATTATTTGAGAGCAGTTGTGATTGACCGTGGATTTTCTCCCATGATTATTGATAAAGCCATTAAAAATTTTCAGATTCCCATCAAAGAAGACATTCCACTGTTAGAAATAATACTAATGACCTTGTCATGCTTCCATTTTATCCTTCTGTTAGCTATAAAATTGCACGGATTCTCCAGAAATTCAATTTTCAAGTCGGTTTCTCCCCTATTAATAAAATTCACCCTTCTATTCTAAAAGATTGCGTTTCTGTCTTGAATTCTTGGGGAATTTATAGTATATCGTGTCATTGTGGTTTAAGATATATTGGCCAAACAAAACGAGCGTTGAAGTTTCGTATCAAGGAACATGAATCTTATGTCAGAAAAGGCGAAATTAACAAGTCTTCAATAGCGTATCATAGTTGGACATTTAACCATAATTTTAACTTTGGGTCTGCAAAAATTATCCAAAAGGCTTTCTTTCCATAGGCGAATTGGATTTTCCTTGAGGCTTTTCATATTCACAAAGATTTTAGCAGGTTTATTTTAATGATTTGAAGTCCCAATCCAGTCCTTCCTAATGCCTTTAAAATTCTACTATCTTAATTCAGTTATTTTTGCCAATAGATGGCATTACCTCCTCGCGTTTGGTACTACCAGAGGGTATAAAAATGCATTCAGTGGTTGCTTTCCATTATTTGAAGTTCAGATTTTGAGCGTGAAGGTGCATTTGCCCCTCGCTCCCTATTTTTAACTTCGCTAATTTTTCTTGTCCTTTATGCTTGATCACATAGCCTGGCTCAGTAAAAGTAGGCGGCCAGTGCTACTCTGATTAAAATTTCAGTTAATACCACGTGCAGTGCTGATAAGGACCACGTGTTTCTGAGACTCCTTCCCCTTTATTTTCTTCTTTCTAGGTATTTCTTTCTCCTGATGAGGAGGGACCTTTACCTGCCCTCGAAATCGATTGAGTGTTTCATTATACTTACGCTAAATACAAGGTTGTTTTTACGATTTTGATTGTTCATTAGTAACTATTTTATGCCAGGCCATTGGGCCATTTCAACAACCGATTTCATAATGATCATGCATTGAGAAATCCATACAAGAGCATTCAGTCTATAAAATTAAAAATACAAGACATTTTAGTAATATATACTTATCTCTCTCTCTCTCTCTCTCTCTTTTTTTTTTTTTTTTTTTTTTTTTTTTTTTTTTTTTTTTTTTTTTTTTTTTTTTTTTTTTTTTTTTTTTTATGCATCCTTGTTTCTTGTACTGTTGTTCTTTCCACTTAAAAAGCAATCTGTTTTTCTTTAAAATAATATCAAACAACTGCACAAATTCAGTATTGTACAACTTCAGCATTGCACTCCAGCAAAAATAGGCATGTGCTTCACAGATACCTTGGTTTCTTTTTCATTTCAGCCTTTTTCTGCCCATGTCCACAGTGATCTGTTTTCACTTTAAAGAACATCACAAAATTCCATAAACTTAACATCATACTATTTTAGCATTGTGCGCCAGCCAAAACAGACATGTGCTATGCACATACTGGGTTAGCATATAAATACCTTTTTTGCAGCATCATGATCCACATAACTGTTTTGCCTCATGAAAGATTTTCGTGACTTTTAAGTGGGGCGGAGGGTTATGTAAAGTCAGAAAGTATCTGTATTTGACGTGAATATGAGTTTTGATGTAGAATTTGTTATCTAATGAGTTTTAAGAAGTGAATTTCCATGTCTTAGTATGTTTCTTGTTAAGATCAGAAATCTGTTATTTACAGGCTATGGAAAAATATAATGCTTAATGTATATTTCAGTGCATGGCAAATTCAGCATGGATAGGAGTTATGCTACCTACAGAGATATTGTATAGATAGAAATATTTATATCAAAAGTGCTAAGTTTCATTTTATGAGAAGAAAATTAAAGTATTAACAGAATATTCAAGTTTTTTATTATTTGTATTCTTAACTTATTGAGTGGTTTTAAGAACATGTATATAAAGCTTCAGAGAATACTGCTTTTCCCATTTAGTATTTATTTTACTTTTTGTAGTGAGTGAAGCTCCACCACCAGTGAAAACAGCAGTAAAGAAGCCATCTGATGCTCCTGTAAATATTGTATTTGAAGGTGAAGTTGCTCTTGAAAGTTCTTTAGCTTTTCTTCAGAACAGCAAGGAAAAAGAAGAAAAGGTCTGTAATACAAGAAAACATTCTTTAATTTGCATTAATACTATAAAGATAATTATAAATTTAAACTAATAGGACAGAAATTTCTAATAATCTTTATGTTATGCATTAAACTGGAATTTATAAACTACTCATTTAATGCCACATCTCCCTAAATATTTAATTGAAAAATTTTGAAATAGCTACTAAAGATTCTTTTCTCCACATATTTTTAAGTCAATATATAACCAAAATGGCTGGAAAAAGTGAAGAAAATTTAGAAAATGTAAATTGTTGAGGATCTTGAAGTCTGCAGTAAAGGGAACACTTTAAGATGAATATATTGAAGAAGACTAATATCTTTTTCTAGCAAAATCTTTAAATAATTAGTGAGTTAAGATGCACCTCACTGCATCCATGATTGAACATGTAGATAATGTTCAAAAGTCAGAAATATTTATTTATTGCTATATTAAAAGTTTTTCTTGGAAAGGATAACATGGGTATATTTATTGACCCTTAATTCTCTGCTAAAGAGCACTACACTTTGTGTGGGATTAGAAAAGTGGCATCTTTACTGAGATCCTTCTTTTCTTGAAATTTTTGTTTCAAGATATGAATTGTACTGAAATTTTTGTTTCAAGATATGAATTGTACTTAATGTTATGACTAAACTGGTTCCTTGACAAAAGACCACTGGACGAAAACACACGCGACAAAAGCCCCATCCACCGAAAAAAAAAAAGAAAAAAAAAAACCACTGTGAATATTGCACACACAACAAATACCCACACCTATGAAAGTGCACATTGATAAAAGCATATTTTGATAAAAGCCCACATAATCAAAAGGATATATGGTTTTTATTACTATAAAATGTATTTATAATTTTAATTATAATAATTGGAGTATTCAGATGTGAATTTTAATGTCTAAAAAATATGTCTGTTTTGTACATTTTACCACTGCTTCATTTGTTTATTTTATTAGGTAGAAAACAAACTTTCTGCTCTCTGATTAAGTTATTAGCTATGATGTTTTGATCATAAATCTGCAAATGTATTTTATTATTTATTTACTTATTTAACTTTGGTATGTTATGTGAAAATCAAATATATCCTTGTGAAGTTCCTCACGTGCTGTTTTTAAGGTAATATGACTGAGATTAAATATAATTATGTTTCATTATTAAAAATGTTAACTTTTTAATTGAAAAGCACTTGAATTTTATTTTCTTCCCTTTTAGCTTTTAATATAGTTAAAGTAGTTTTATGTAATTAAGCTCAATGAAAACTTGGTTATGAGATATTTTATTCTTTACTTTAGACTGAGATTATTATCAAAGTTTAAACATATTTCTGATTGAAAGCTTTTTAGAATGTAACAATTATAATTTTGTGATTTTCTAGAAATATTTTCTTTTAGACTTCTGAATAAATTAAAACTGTGACACACTATCAGAAAGTGAATTCCTAGTGTAGCACCTTAATCTTTCAACTACAGCAGTTTGGAATATAAGTGTTTTTAATTTTAATTTAATTTATTTATTTTGGAAGTGGCATGGAACAACTCTTAGAATTCAAGATAGGCACACATATCTACAAATTTAAGTACAATAACCTCAAACTATAGTGATAAATATGTAACATGTTATTACAGTTTGTGAAGATTACAAATAACTATGCATATAATAACTTCTCATAAAATTTTGTAACTACATGAATATATATTTAAAGAGTCATTAAATTCAAAGTTCATCATTTTTAGATTCTAAGTATACAAATTATATAAATTCATCATTCACTAACAGTATTATGTATAGTAATAGAAAATTAATATTAATGTTTCAAATTGTAATTTTTTAATAATTTGTCTTTCATTTTCTATATATTTGTTAAAGACATATCGGTATCAGTTATACACCATGAAAAATATAGAGAAAGTAGTTAATCTTATGTAACAGCTAATTGTGCAAGAAAAATTAGTTATATTACTCTTAAATCTCCCTAGTGTAAATAGCCCTTTTTTAATTGACATTAGATTAAATTAATTCTATTATCCATTAGAAAATACAGTACAAAGTCTGTAATCCGGACGTCCATTATCCAGAATGATCTATGATCCGGACCTCAAAGCCACAAACGTTACGCATGCGCATAATGTATGTTTTACGCATGTGCGCATTGAAAGAAATGTTGAGCTTTTTTTTTTTTTTTTTTTTGTGTGTGTGTGTGTGTGTGTGTGTAAAATTTGATACCCTTTTGATCATAATTGCTCTTTATTTCATAAATTACAGTTTCATATTTTTAGTTGTATAATTTCTGCATCCCATCTTACCAGATTTAAATTGATGATCTATAATCCGGAAAAATCCCTAATCCGGAATCGCCGATGTCCCGACGAGTCCGGATTACGGACTTTGTACTGTATTTATAATAAATCATATTTATTGACATCATTTCTTAGAGGTCGCCTTCTGAAAGGGATCTGTATTGTTTGAGAACATAAACACTGGCAGTGAATATCACATTTCTAAGACCACCACATCTACAGAGCTCCAAAATCCTTTAAAACCGTTAATTGTCACATTTATAAAGGGCTCGCTATATTTTAATGAAACATGTACACTTGCTACATTTTAATTTTCTGTTAAAACAGAGTAAGAATGGTTCTAATGTTTTAGAAGTATGTGAAATTAAAAGAATGGACAATGCATAACAAAAATGGAACTAGATTCAAATACACATCTCTTGGACATGCCTGAAATTCATTATTCAGCTCAGAATAAATTTATCTAAAGGAAATATATAATAAATATTAGAACTGAAAATCTAAGTCAGGTAGTAAGGATCATCTCGTCGGATCATATCTTCTCTTAATCATAAAGCGGCTTTTCCAAAGCGAATGAAACGGGAAAGAGAAAATAGGTGGGGACTACAGTGGATGAAACACCACTATTTCAAACTGGGCATGAAAAGAAAAAGGACAAAATGCCACTAAGTCAAGGAAAGAGATGCCTTTGTGGAGGACTTTTTAAAGGAAACTGGCTCATATACACGTTACAGAAGGGGAAAACCATGAAAGTGCCCATGCAGTCAGCCCTTCCGTATGTTATGCTACATACGAACTACCAATATTTAGTGTTTTTATCGCTCAGCCACTGGTGAGCCTTGTTGCATACATGAAAGCTAAAAAACTGCATGACTGACACTTTCTTAATCTACAGCTTTTATTTCATTTTTTATTAATTTTGATTCATCTAATTAATTATTTACTTTTCCGATATTTGAACTTTTTCTCAGATTTATTATCATAGCAAGAATATCTAGAAAATTCCACGAATTGAAAATAAGTGATCAAGTCTTAGATGAGATTTGTTCTACCAATCAAAATTTGTTTTTCATCTTTATAATGTAATATATGTAATTTGTTAGATATACTAGCTTATCTCAACAAAGGCTCACAATTTTTTTTCTCTTTTGAAATCTATAGAAATTTTTTTACAAAACTAACCACAATAAAAAGCAGAATTTTACTTAATTTTATATTTGAATGCTAACTTCAAGAATGGAACTAACAAACGAGTTATAAGGTCTAATTGTCCATGGGAGTATGTAAAGTGTCAATGACCTTTTGTAATATTGCTGGTGACTTCTCACTAGTCAACAGGGCCCACTAGTAGCCGAGTGGTTAAAGTCACGGAACACTTGTAGTTCGGTCTGAGGTTTGAATCCCACAAACGAGCTGGCTGCAGGGGCGTTTTGAGGCTTTCCCCATGTAACATGTATAAGAGCTAGTATCTCTTAGATAGTCCACATAGGCCTCCCTTTCCCTCAGGCAGATAGCCCTCGAGGCTTTGCCATAATCACGTAAACTAAACCAAACTCGCTAGTCGACATGGTATTCAGTAACAGCAGAACAAGGATGAAGGTTGAAACCTTTTATTTAACTGAACTATTTACAAGAGCACACTTTGTGCTTAACATATAGACCACTACTTGTGTTCTGTTACGTACGTATGTGGTGTTATGTTATGTTACGTAGAAGTGAAGAGGCCCACTGACTAGAAAACCAACAACTTTAAGTCATGATGAAATTGTGACTCACCAACACTGCAAGTTCTGCCACCACCAGCAGCATCAACTGCACTTCTACCTTTCAGCGTTAAATTAGTTCAAGTAAAATGCATTACATTACATGATACAGGGGTTGGACAAAAATATGGAAACACCTTTAAAAAAACATGTTTCTTTGCTTAATATGGTGTAGGAAACCCATTGGCATCCAAAACAGCTTGCAGTCTTCTCGGAATGGATAAATACAGTTCCTGTATGTTTGCCAAGGGAATATTATACTATTCTTCCTGCAAAACGGTGGCAAGTTCAGATAACGATGTTGGTGGTGGATAACGAGAACGCACTTTCCGTTCCAATGTAGACCACAAAGGTTCGATAATATTCAGGTCTGGTGACTGTGGTGGCCAGGGGAGATGGCACAACTCATCCTCGTGCTCAGAAAACCAGTCCTGGACAATGTGAGCTGTGTGAACAGGGGCTTTGTCGTCTTGGAAGACACCATCACTATCGGGGAACAAAGTTGTACCATGGGATGAACTTGATCGGCCAAAATGTTCACATAAGTCTTGGCAGTCATGTGCCCTGACACAGTTATCATGGGGCTAGCAGAGAACCACGATATGGCTGCCCAAACCATAACAGAACCCCTGCCATGTTTCACTCTTGGCAACAAGCAGTCTGTATTATAGGCTTGAGATGGCGTTCTCCAGACATAAACTCGGCCAGAAATGGGAAACAATGTGAAAGAAGACTCGTCAGACCATATTACTCGCTTCCACTGCTCTATAGTCCAGGCTTTATGACTTAAACACCACCTTTTCCTGTTACGGGCATTAGCATCACTGATGAGTGGCTTCTCAATTGCAGCACGGCCAGCAATTCCCTGTTTATGAAGCTCCCATCTAATTGTTTTGGTACTCGCAGGGTTCGGTAACACAACATTCATTTCAGCAGTAACTTTTGCAGCTGTGGTCTTCTTATTTTTCGTCACAATTGCCCTTAATGATCGTTTGTCACGATCACTCAGGACACACTTTCGTTCGCGCTGTGATTTAGCAGTTGATGTTTTTCCGCTTTTCAAATATGCAGAATAAATCTTCGATACAGTACCTCTTGAAACACTAAACACCTCAGCTACCTTGCTTACGGAAGCACGTACCATACGTGCTCCAACAATTTGCCCACGTTCGAAGTCTGTTAACTCTGACATAATGCAATGACAACCTCACATAACAGTACTTCGACAACAACTGAACTGTTTAGCACATTTACGAAGTTGTATAGGTGGCGTTACTAGTCAAAAACGCCAGCGCCACCTACATATTTCATTAAAATCAATCTTTCTTTTCAAACATGCATTTCACAAGATGTTTCCATATTTCTGTCCATTCACTGTATGTGTAGTGATACATAGTCGTACAGGTGCATGTTTCATGGCATTATCAATTGTAAAGGGTACAGGCATCATGTTTCAGGATATTAACATTTTGCAGTAGATACATGCGTGATGTTCCCACATGATAAATCATTTTTGCAAACGTGATCTGTTTACATCGGCGTTTGCTATCGAAATTAAGTTGGAACTATAAAATTGTTTAGAAAGCTTACTTCATTCTGCATATTTATGCTTACTGCATACATTTAAGTATTGTTTTTTAGTTGTGCTGATACTTTAGCTACTCGGTTTTGACAAATGAATTGCTAAAGTATTGGCACACCTATACAACAATACTTAAATTGTTATATTCATACTTTAACAACTCCAATCGTCAAAATATTGAGTTTCTAAAGTAACAGCACATTTAATAAACATTTCAAGGTATAAATTAAATAGTAGAATTCTAGATTAGCCTAAAAGGCTTGCTCAAACAATTAAACTTAATGGCACGCTTAATGCAATGGCCAAGTAACAGCACATTTAATAAACATTTCAAGGTATAAATTAAATAGTAGAATTCTAGATTAGCCTAAAAGGCTTGCTTAAACAATTAAACTTAATGGCACGCTTAATGCAATGGCCACAAATGGTTAAACCTTGACAGCAGAAGCCGACATAGCCAGTACTCACATTCCCTTTTAATCTCAAAAGCTTCTCCTTAAATACTCTTAACTCATTTGCATCCTTAACATGCTTACCTACTAACTCATTTACATTCTGGTGAGAGGTATCCATAGCAAGCTTTTCAGTTTCTACTTTCTATATTCAAGTTGATGGCTTGATCGATTCAATAGATTGATAACATTTGGAAAAATTTGTAGTAAAGCAAAGCCTGAAAATGTGGTGGGTATTGTGACATGGATGAGTGAAAAATGGTGAGGCATTAGAGAAGGATACATGGAAGATAAAATGTATAATGCCAATGAAACGAGCATTTTCTACAACTTAACCCCACAATACATTTTTAAGTTCAAGGGTGAAAAGTACATCAGAGGCCAGCTCTCCAAAAGTTAATTGACAGCTTTAATGTGTTCTAATATGTCTGCCACTGACAAAAAGAAACTGTTTGCTATTGGCAAGTCCAAAAGCTGTAGGTGAACATGTAAAAAAGCTTCCTGTTGATTATGTTCACAGAAAGAAAGCCTGGAGACACATTCACGGAATTGATTTTAAAATGGGTGAGGCAATTGAAAAAAGAAAAATATAAAATTCTCCTTTTAATCAATAATTGTAAATCGAATCTCAAAATCACTGGACTTACAAACATCAGGATTGGATTTTTACTACTGAACTCTACAAGTGTTATCCTGTGTATGGACCAAGGGCTTTTGATTGTGCAAGAAATTTCAAGATTTTTTTTGAAACCAGGGGTGCAAATGATGATGTTTTTTAATCTATGAGTCTTCTCCAAAGAAAAATAACACAATAAAGAGACAGTAAGGCATTTCATAGCAAATTAACCTCTTTTTTTTTTTTTTTTTTTTTTTTTTTTTGTGCTGTACAGAAATAAAAAATAAAGTATGTATGAATTTTTATGATTTTTTAATGAACTCTTTTTTTACAAGCGCTCAATTTTAACGAACAATTTTAGCGGTCCATTCACACTTGTTATGAGTTCGACTGTATATGAAAAATTGAAGTATAATTTAGTGTGTGTATATATATATATAAATTTAACAAACATTCTCCATTCGTAAAAAGCAAATTTAAATGAAATTTTAAATGAAATTGAATTACAAATAAATGATTAATTATTGCTGTGAACTAATCTACAGTAGCATTCAAATTCTGAGATATATATGTATGTTATATATTGCAGATTGTACAGTCTATGCTCTCACAGTGTGAACTGAAAGAGGATAGTCTTCCACAAGAGGCATTTGAAGGAGTTGATCCAGATGAATGGGTGAGACTTTTACAGTTTCTCTTAAAATTATATATTTAATAATTTAGGGCAGAGAAAAGCTGAATAACTTTCTGTTAACAACATCCGGAGTGTTTGCTTTAACTCTTTCAATCCTTTAAACTGAGCAATACGGGTTTTTGGTTCTGCACATGACACTTGTATTTAGACAGCTTCTATTAACTAAATTTATATAATTACTTTTTTTTTCATAAGCATCCACACATGGTTTCATTCTTGAAGCATATAAAGATTTCTGATGTATATATGACTATTGCTGTGCTTATATTTTTGAAAGCCACTAAATTCATACCTTGATCTATCTTATAATGAGTGTTCACTATTGCTTTTATTTCTTTAATGCATTTGATTCAAGATATATTTCATCTGTTATGATTATGCTTGCAATAAATTAAGAATATTTTGGAAAGTTCATTGGTTTGAAATTTGATTTGATAAACAAAATAATTAAATAAATCGCATTTAAAACATGTTATTAAATTTTAATATGAGTAATTATTCATTATTATTAATCTTAGTCATTAACTTAATTAATACAATCCTTCTTGCTAAACTGTAACATTACTGTCTAAATGACCTGGATGGCATTTCTAGGTTAATACAGCTTTTATTATGTATAAAAAAATATTGACTATTATTTAAAAAAAATTAAATAGATCTTCCTTTGACAATGAAGCGAGAAGCCTCAGCATCCTTTCCTTTAAATTCCAATCTTTCTCTCAACTGTCTGAACCTCATGATGGAGAAAAGTCAGTCCTTTTCAACATAGGCTGGGGAGAGGTCTCTGTACTTTTCTGAAATCAGCACAGAGTTATCACAAAATATGCAAATTGATGACCATCTGTAGGAAATTCCATGCATGATAATCTAATCATGAGAGTTTTCTTTTATCTCCACCATGTTCCTTAGACTTGTTACAACAACTTCCCACTTTAAAAAAACATTTTGCTTCTTCAAAATGCTTTGTAAGTACATGGATGCACACTGTGAGTTAAATTACATACATACATAAAAAAATTACACAGAAGTACCATGATATAGCAGCAAGACACTTGACACAATAAAAGACATAAAAGCTTAACACAACTAATTCAGAAGTCAAACAACAAAAATCAGCGTTATATTTTCAAAATTTTCACAGAACTAGTTTCGATGATTTTACCGAACCACCATGCTCAGCTGCAAAACCGCAAATGAACAAGATAGGAAATAGTGATTAGATAAGATAAGAAAGCCTGGACAAGAATAAGCAAGTGGTGCCATCTGTTGGTAAAACCAGAACTAAAACATAATTTCTTTAAAGGCCGAAGGCAAAGATGGATTGGAATTAGGATCGTTAACTAGAACAGAAAGATTTTTTTGAATGTGAAATGCCTCTAGAAAACCAGTTCTCCAATGAAAGATATTTTTTGAATAATTTTGGCAGCAGAAAAATTGAAAGTGTGATTTTCGGACCAACAATGTTGAGCACCAGAAGACTTCTGTGTTTCCTTTTTTCTAACATGTGCCTCACGTTCCTTGACGCATATTAGTATTTGTTTGGCATGTTATTGTGTCTTAATTATAGAAGCCCCAAACAGGCTTATTTTTTGCTTTCTTTTCTGCACGTGGTGTGGCCGCCATTTTGTGATTGCATGGGTTTCGGTAAGTACTTTTTTGCAATTTTGAAGTTCTGTTTATGTTTCGTATATTTGGATATTGTGCTTTGCTTGTCTGATTTTATGCATTTTGGGTACAAACGTTTTGTTTTCTGCTCGTTTCAGTGAGTGAATTTTCTGCTGTTTTGTGTGTGCTTTATTATTGCTTAGTTAATTTAGTTTGATTTTCTGCATTGTTTAGCATGGCTTCATCCATTAATCGTTTCACTAAATTACACCTGAAAGGGCAAAAATTTCTGAAGCATGTTGACTTTTTACTTAAATGTAAATGTAAAAAATTGATCACCAATTTTATTCAAATCAAATCTAATCAAAAAACTTCCAGTCGCGTTTCAAGAATTCTGTTAAATTGCAAGCTTGCCTTACTTTGATCCATTATAAGGGATACACGTCAACAATTGTCTAAAATTGAACATGAACTCTATAAGCTTCATCTGGAACTCGCTAATTCATATCCAAAATTCACTGCCCTTGAACAAAAGTCTTGGTCTAGAACGGAGAATGCAGTTAACCATCATAAAAACACCCTTGCAGTTAAATTCAAAAAACTTCTGTTACAGTCTTCCAGTTCAAGTTGTTCAAAAAATCTTCCCATTGTAAACATCAAGCCAATAGTTAATATTTCTAATGTTAGTCTTTCATAAGAGCAAGAGAGAATTCTAAAATATAATTTTAACTTCTCACAAACCTGTAAACCCTCGATTCCAAAGATTTTGGCTCCAATCGAAAAAGCTTTCAAGTTCAGTAAAGTTTCAGATTCACAGAAAGAAATGATTAGGCATCTTATCGCTCATAATGTGAAATTCAATAATAAACCTTTGAAACCAAATCTAACTGTGAGAGAAAGAGCTACAATGCACGAAATTCATTCTAACCCGGATATTATCATTTCTAAGGCCGACAAAGGTGGCCATGGATAAGAACACTTACATCGATGGTGTCTCTAAACTCTTAAACAAAGGACCATATAATCCGATCCCTAAAGATCCTTCACCTTCGGACTTATCCAAAATAAAAACTGCGATCAAATCTTCGCAAATCATTTCAAGCAACTTAAAACATTCGCTTATCCCATCTGTTGCGAATTGTGCCAGATTATACGCTCTTCCCAAAATTCATAAAAGTGGTATTCCTTTCCGCCCTATTGTATCAAATTTAGGTACTGCCTCGTATCCCTTAGCTAAATATTTAGTTTCTAGATTTTCAATTCTATTAGTAACATTTACACCATAAAAAATTCAGTAGAGTTTGTAAAAAGGTTAGAAACATTTCTCCTAGAAATTACTCATGCTTTCTTTTGATGTAAAATCATTATTCACCAATGTTCCAGTGGAGGGTGCATTAAGATGTCTAGAAACCTAGTTAAGATGTCTAGACTTCGCGAATTTCATTTCTCTTGCATCGAAATTGATGAGCTAATTTCTCTCACTCAACACTGTTTGAAAACACACATTTTGTTTTCCAAAATAAATATTACAAGCAAACTGAGGAATTAGCCATGGGAAGCCCCCTCAGTCCCATCCTGGCTGATATCTACATGCATTATTATGAATCAAAATTGTTTGAAACTTAAAACTTCCCGGCATGGTTCCGCTAAGTAGACGATACTTTTACCCTGTTTGAAGGTAATAAAGATGATTTAAATAAAGTCCTTTCAACAATGAATTCTATTGATCCTGCTATTCAGTTCACTTTTGAACTTGAGACTTGCAATTCTCTTTCGTTTCTCGACATTCTGGTCACACGTAACACATCCAACTTCAGTACTACGGTTTACCGTAAACCTTCATCGGTTTGCCTTCCACCTCACTTTAAATCATATCATCCAACTAAACAAAAGTTAGCTTCATTTTATTCCTTCTATTTTCTGTGCTCTTCAAGTTTGCTCCTCCAAACTAGCCCTTGAAGAACTAAATTATTTAAAAGCAATAGCTATTGACAGGGGCTTTTCACCCAACATTATTAATCAAGCAGTTAAAAAATTCTGTTGTTATTCCCTTCTTTCCATAAATTAGCTATAAAGTTGCACATATTTTGCAGAAATTTAACTTTCGGGTTGTTTATTCTCCCATCAATAAAATTCCAAGTTCCATACTCAAGAACCCCATTCCAGATATGAACTCTTGTGGTATTTATAGGATTCCTTGCCAGTGTGGTTTGATTTACATTGGCCAAAATAGGAGAGCCTTAAAATTTCGCGTCAAGGAACATGATGCGTATGTCAGAAAAAAGGAAACACAGAAGTCTTCTGTTGCTCAACATTGTTGGTCCGAAAATCACACTTTCAATTTTTCTGTTGCCAAAATTATTCAAAAAACATCTTCCATTGGAGAACTGGATTTTCTAGAGGCATTTCACATTCAAAAAAATCTTCCTGTTCTAGTTAACGATCCTAATTCCAATCCATCTTTGCCTTCGGCCTTTAAAGAAATTATGTTTTAGTTCTGGTTTTACCAACAGATGGCGCCACTTGCTTATTCTTGTCCAGGCTTTCTTATCTTATCTAATCATTATTTCCTATCTTGTTCATTTGCGGTTTTGCAGCTGAGGATGGTGGTTCGGTAAAACCATCGAAACTAGTCCTGTGAAAATTTTGAAAATATAACGCTGATTTTTGTTGTTTGACTGCTGAATTAGTACTTGTTCAGCGTGTTATTGTGTCTTAATTAGCTTAACACAAGTAAGGAACAATAAAGAAAAACAGAAGTAACCAGCATTAATGTCATTTACAATAACCCTGCAAAATAATATAAAGATGGCAATAGTGGTAAAATAGCAAAGGTATACAGGTACAATTAAAGCATCTATGTATTCCCGAAATTATATGTTAGGCATCGTCGGGCCTCACTTACTGTTAAGTCTTTCCCAATTCTGAAGCAGAACAACCCAAAGGAGGGGGCATTAGGGTCTGCCACTTCTCTTCCACTACCACCAAACTCTTGCGAGAACTTTTAGTTCGCCATGTATTTGCCATTTAGGAATTTCTTTAGTACCTTTTTGTTAATCACCCTTAAAGATCCTTTTGTTTCAATCTTTAGATTTTACAATTTTCTTTCCTTTTTTCCTCATTTCACCTTCAAGCACAAGATCAAAAACTGAAGGTGGAGTCCAACCACATTTTTCTCTTGGAAATTGCCTTCCCTGGAAACCGGATCTGACACCTTTCATAACTGGTTTTCAGTTTCGTCTCTAGGTAACTAGGTCTCTAACTACCTATGCTTCCATAACATTACAATTTTTGCCTACTATAATTCCAGTACATCTGTAGTTTGGTTTCCTAGGATTTACAAATCTTGATTTAACATCTCTCTTAATTATTGCAGC